AGCAACTTTAAAATTTTTTATCTAATCTTTTTTTTTTTAGTTTTTTAAGGAAAAAATATTCACCAACAAGTACAAATGATGCATATATTTCATGAAAAATATCAAAAAACAAACTCAAAATTATTAATGTAATAATAATTTTATTTCAAAAGCAAACTAAATCATTTACAGTTGCTCATGACGAGTTTTCATATTTTGATAACGGTTTACAACCTTTTCATTTTGAATTTCACGAAACATATTTTTCTTAATATAAGTAACTAAACAATTATTCATTCAAGTGTCTTCCATTTTATTTTATAACCGATTCTTCACTATATTCATTATCGAAAAAACCCTTTCTACAGTAGCTATAACAACAGGTAAAATCAAAGACAACTTTAAAAGTATATAGACCAATAGATACACAACTCCAGGGGGCACACTTGAAATTACATCAAATTTTTATAGGTATTATAGAAATTTAAGGGGGGCAGTGGGGGCCTATAAACCAATAGATACACAAAATTTCAGGGAGTACAGTTGAAATTACATCAAATTTTTATAGGTATCATAAGAATTTAAGGGGGCAGTGGGGGCACAGTGTAAATCCGCCAGTGGCTATGGCCAACCACGAACATAAGGGTGGCGGGCAGGGGCAGCCGGTCCCAAAGAATTTTCAAAAATTATATATGGAGTATTAGATTTAAATTTGAACTCTATCATTTTAGATCCTTAACAAGTTTTTCTTATTAGTTAATATGTTTATCTCCTTTGGGGCTTTTTTCAAAAGAGGTTTGGAATTCTGGAGTCTTATTCCTCTACGGTGTCAGCAATGGTTTTGTCGACGTTTGGCTCGAACTCTTTGGTAATGCGGGACCACATAAGGGCGGTTATCCCTATAGTAGTTCTTTGGTTTCTTTGGAAAGCTAGGAACAAGGCGCATTTCGATGGAGCATGTTTTGAGGCTCGTAGGGTAATCACCTTGGTAGACAACTTTATGGGCCAGTTAGGGTTGGCCTCCAAGCTCTCGGCGAGACATTTCAGGGGTGACTATGAAGATCCATGGGCTCGTCTTGGTGTCTAGTTGTCAAGGAAGAAGGAGGGATATGTGGTTTCTTGGAAGCGGCCACCGTCGAACTATGTCAAATTGAACACTGATGCTGGTGTCTCTCACAATCAAGCATATGGGGAGGGGATTGCTCTGAGACTTGGAAGGCCGTTTAATTTTTGCTTTTTACAAGGAATTTGAGGAAATGGATGTGTTGAGGGCGGAAAGCTTATCATTGTTGCATGGCCTTCACTTGTGTAAAGAAGTAGCCATGGGTTCTTTGCTAGTGGAGATAGACTCTGAGAGTTTGGTTCGCATGCTAAATGCCGGGGGTGCATCAAAATGGCCACTATGCAATACACTGAGGAGCATAAAAGCGCTATTAAATTCATTGCCAGCTTCCATATCTCATGTGGTACGAGAAGCAAACTCTTCGGCAGATAAGTTAGCAGGGTTGCGATTGCCGTCTAAACTATATTGTACTTCGTATCCGTAGCTTCCAGGAATAATTAGGACCTTGATAAAACTAGATAGTAGGGAAGTCTGTTACCTACGTTGGTGGTTTGTAAGGGATTAGAGCCCTATTTGCTAGCTCATTGTGGATAATACCTTTCACTCTTTGTACTATTTCACTTTAAACAATAAATTAGGGGGCTGGCATCCCCACCCCGTGAATTAGGTTTGCCCTTAAAAAAACCTTAATATATTTAGTGTATCCTTAAATTAATTAAGGTAAGGAAACAAATAATTGACAAATAAAAGGAAATTTAATCATATTTTTATACGTGATTGACTTGATGTATTAGTCAAAAGCCAGCACCTAAATGAACATGCATCAATCTTTCCCCAAGTTCGTTCAATTCATTTCAAACATTCTTTTTTTTTGTTCAGACCTTTTTTTATTTTTATTTTTTTAAATAAACTTCTTTATTTTATTTGATAAAATCAAGGAGGGCATACATGGAATTCAAAGCCAATGCTAGCACAATCTTAACCTACGCCCTAACTCGACGCAGACTTGGAACACCTAACTGATCAAGGGAAACGTCACCTCTCACCAAGGAAGGCAACTCACGGAAAGAATGATATGTTAGCGTTAGGCCTGAATCCTCACCAACATTGGCAAGGCGGTCAGCCGGTTTATTCGCTTCCCGAAAGCAGTGTGATACCTTTCTAACACACCTACTGACCTTTTGCAGGTCTTGTAAGTCCCCTTGCAAACGCCATGGGCACCGAGCTTTCCCTTGAATTATCTGAACTAGAATCAAAGAGTCAGATTCCAAGTGTAAATTGGCGTACCCACTCACAATCGCCAAACTAACACCAAAAGTCAACGCCTTCAATTCAGCCTGCAAACTCGTCATCTCCCCAAAGAAACACGAATACCCCAAAAGAAACTTTCCTCCCGAGCACCGAAGCACCCCCTCACCTCCACTCACTCTCGGATTACCCCGAGAACAACCATCCGAGTTCAGCTTTACCACGAGGGAATCGAGGCGACTCCATCGAACCACCAAGGTCCTGGAAACCCCGTGCAGACCAGCCTCTATACCGTAGAAACCTGGCCAATCCTGATCAAGGGTACTGAGTCCCTGAAACTTAAGGAGGAAAATGTCCCTGAGAACCCCAAATATTGGCGCGAACCTGAGCCACGGGCCGCAAATGGTCATCAAATACAACAGTGTTTTGCATCTTCCACAAATTCCAACAAATTAAGGACGGCAATAAACGGAACAGATATAGTAGATATCGGTTTCGAGTAGGCCTCAACCACCAGCTAACCAACTTGTGTCGTAGCGTAGAGGAAACCTGAAACCCTCCAATAACCCCTTCGAAATATCCCCAAATCTGCTTTGCCGCCACCCCGGTGCAGAAGATGTGGTCAATAGACTCTTGACATGGATATATACAGCAAAAGCACCAAGAGGGGCCGAGGATACCAAGTTTATGCAACCTGTCCATCACCGGCAAACGGAACCCTACCAATCTTAACATGAAAAATGAAACCTTCAGAGATAGCCCGAGAAGCCAGAGCCATGAGTAGAGCCAAGAGCTATTTCCATCCTTTCGAGAGATCCAGTAGACTGATGCTAATGAGAATGCACCGGAGATACTAGGAGCCCAAACCATGGTATCAACTTGGTCCAGCGAAGGAGGCACCACTCCCATAATCCTTCCCACCCATCTGCCAGGCGCTACCTCGCTCAATCGTTGTACGTTCCAGAAACCCTGTTCCACAAAATCGGAGACATTACATTCCTAAAAAGTATCCACATGATGACACAACGGACCCGTCCCCAACCAGTTATCATGCCAGAAACTAACACCTCCCCTAGCCAAAACCCAGTGGATGTGTTGCTCCGCTACACCCTGGATAGCCACCATCCTCTTCCAAGTCCACGAATCGCCGGGGGAAGCATCAGCAAAGCAAGGATGAAGATTGGGACAATATTTTTGGTTCATGAACTCGGCCTATAACGATTGCTGCAACCAGAAGTGCCACCATAGTCTCATGGAAAATGCATCAAACACGTGTTTTAGGGATCTCAAACCAGCACCCCCCTGTCATATGAGGTGCACAACTTGTCCCACTTAATCCAGTGGAATTGTGGCCCAACCTCTGAGGAGCTCCATAGGAAATCAGTAAAAATTCTCTCCATCATGCCAAATATCGACTTAGGAGGGGTTGATGCGGCGAATAAGTGAATAGGCATAGAGGAGAGCACGCTCTTGAGTAGAGTTAATTTACCACCGTGCGAGAGTAGCCTCCCTTTCCATGACAACACTTTACTCGCGACCGATTCATAAACCCCCGCAAAGTAGCATCTCCTCCACCGCCCTGCATATAAAGGACAACCCAAATATTTGACCGGAAACTCCCTCGACTGAAACCCAGTCAACTCTGCAATAATCCGTTTCCTACCACAAGGAAAATTGGCATGAGTCAAGACACAACTCTTTTGCTAATTCACCTTTTGACATGACACTAAAACATATTCGTCCAGAGCCTTCATCACCAACCGCACAGATCACCGCAAACCACTAGAGAAAATAATAATATCATCTGCGTAGGCTAGATGAGTAACAGGTAGGCAATCTCGCGGAACTCTAAAAGGCGTAAAACCCCGATAGTTACTCAAAGAATTTAGCAGGCGAGAGAGAACTTCCGCATTAATCACAAAGAGCGCGGATCTCCTTGTCTCAACCCAAGACTAGATTTGAAAAAGCCCTGAGGCGCTCTATTAACTATTACCGAGAACCACACATTGGATATAAGTTTCTATATCATATCAATCCATACTTCACCAAACCCAAATCTTCGCAAAACCTGGAGCAAGAACGGCCAAGAGACTCTATCGTAGGTTTTGGCCATGTCAAGCTTCAAAACCACATTTCCCCCTCTGTTCTTCCGGTGAATATCCGACACCAACTCCTGGACCAACAGAAAATTATCAAAAATTTGTCTGTCCTTAACAAAGCCACTCTGTTGAGGAAAGATAATACTTGGCAATACCTTTGCCAATCGAGCCGCCAGGATTTTAGAAATGACTTTATTGACAAAGTTGCAAAGGCTTATGGGTCGAAACTGACTAAAGTCTTGGGGCGAAGATACTTTCGGAATCAGTACAATCAAAGTCGAAGACACGCTCCTCGGCAACTCATGACCACAGAAGAAACTAACCACGGCTTCCAAAACATCCTGACTCACCACATCCCATGCAAAGGTAAAGAACCTACCTGTGAATCCATCAGGGCCCGCCGCACTCTCCCCATCCATTGCGAACACCACCTCTCTTATTTCCTCCATCGAGGGGAGACGCTCCAACTCATCGTTTTGCTCCCTTGAAATAATCTTGGGAATGACCTCCAAAGTACGCCATGACGCCGAACAAAGTTTGGCGAAGAATAAGGATGTGAAATAATCCACTGCCTCCGTTGAAATCTGAGCTTCATCCGTCAGCCATTCCCCCTAACTATTCCTGATCCGGTGTATAACAGATTTTGCCCGTCTCTCTGCCACTACCACGTGAAAGAACCTTGAGTTTTTATCCCCGTCCTGCAGCCATTTGATTCTTGCATTTTGCCTCCAATACGCTTCCTCCTTGACAAGTGATTGTCTCATTACCGCTCTTGCTTCCTGGAGTGCTAGCCATTGCTGCTGTGAATTGTCATTATCAAATGCAGCCTCTGCCGCCATTACTACCTCTTCTGCCTGCTTAACTGCATCAAAAATATTGCCAAAATGCACCCGCGACCAAAGTTGGAGTGCACATTTAACGTGCTGTAATTTGGCCGCCAACCACTGCAACGAACGCCCCAGGCAAAAGGTAGACCAACTCGTCCTAATAACATCCAACAGCTCAGGTTTTGAAGTCCAAACATTTATGAACCGAAAAGATCTAGGCTTGTTATCAAGTCTAGTCGATGTTGACAAAAGAAAGAGGGCATGATCCGATGGCTCCCTACCTAGATGTCGGACCCCAAAATTCATCCCCATTCGGGCCGCAGACGAGCTACATAGCAGCCTATCTAGGCACTTCCAGATTCGAGTTTGACCACCCCTATTGTTACACCATGTGAAACATGACCCTCAGAAACCTGCATCAAATACTCCAGCTCTCGGACATAAATGATCGCATTTCTACGCCTTCATCAACTCGGAAAGGCAACCCGCCCTTTTTATCTTTCGCACTGATAATGGTGTTAAAGTCACCCACCACCAACCATGGATCATCACTGGGTTTATCTACTAGCAATGCTGACCACAACGGAGCACGCTCTTGCTCTGTACACTTCGCATGGACGAAGGAAAAATAAACGGGAGTCGACAACACCTGAGAAGAGATTCTAAGGGAAATGTGTTGAGGAGAATCCCCAACCTGAACACATTGAAAACCAGCTTGATAGAACATCCAGACCGACCCCTCCCTATTAACCATCCAACCATCCATTTTGAGACGGGCACATATCATACGGATGTCACACGAAAGAGCCTTAGGCTCACAAATAGACACTAATTGAACCGAGAACTCAGAAATAATTCTTTTTAACCTACGAAAATTTGGAGTACGCAAGATACTCCGAATATTTCAGAATAAAAAATTAATCATCAGATAATACAGAGAAGAAGTTAGAGCACACCTTCGTCTTCGAGCGCAAAGTTTGATCAATCGGAACCCGCGGACGAACACCCTTGCGCCTAGGTTTTCCAACTAGCTCAATATCCTCCCCAAAATTAGCCTTCTCCTGAACCTGTTGGATAATTGGGTCAAGGTTAAAAATATCGATCACCAAGGAGCTTGACTCACAATGCCGTTGGGTCCATTGCCCCCGTGGTGATAAGCTACCAGCCCGTTGCTCAGCCATGGAAATATCCATCTCCCCCAACTGCCCTTCCGAAAACATTTCCTCCTCTCCTTCACTCGTTGCCCCAGGGCCTGCGTCACTTCCCACCACCGACCCAATAGCCACGGATGGATGCACCTGCAACTGCTGGAGCAACAGCCCGCTAGCACGCTCGTGCATCAGCAGACCTTGGCTTGCTTTCGTAGCTCCAGCAGTAGCTAGCATTTCACTAGTTCCAGCAGCAACTTTGTGACAGCCCCGCCTTCCCCTAAGGGGTACCAAAGGAATTAGCGGGTTGCCTGCCCAACTCTCGCCAGAACTACTAGAACGGTTGTATACAAACTAAAACGTTTCGAAATATTTTAGCGCGCTCAAATGAATCAAAATCACGAAACGAAAATGGGAAAAATGGAGCCGTACGTGAATAGTGTCGTACCTGTTCGAAACCTATATAAGTGCAATAACTTTATATACTCCAAGAAAGGGACATTTCCAAACCAAAATAACACATGAACATTACCAAACACTTTTATATACGCATAGTTACAAATTTACATTTCAAAAGAAATGTTGGATCCAAGTACATGTATGGATTTCCCAACTATCAAGTAGCTATACAAAAGAATATTAAAACTAACTCAACTCGGCTTCAAAATATCATAGTTCCCAAAAGGTTATTTCCTGTAAGGAAAACAAAATAACGAGGATGAGCTTACACTCGTGAGGTACCAACAAGACACACCAGTAAACACATTTTATCACATAGTGGTCCCAAAACTCATAAACACAACAAGTCAATGTAAAAGGATACAATTGGCTCTCAAGAGCCACTTTCCACTTGCCACACTTGATCACCAACCCGTTGACACCCCGTCAACCTTTAAAGAGAAGAACATCCCGTAGATCCCCACTTTACTTCATATACCTTCCACCGGTCACCCCCTTATCGGGTCCGAACACCTCACAGTAACAGAGAGGGTAGTACTTGAGTACACCATAAGGTAATACACCACTCGACTACAGCAAACCCACGGTCTGTTATCGATTCGTCCAAACCCTTGCCGGCTCGACTAGATTAAAGACCAATGGGGAATGAGCTTAGATAGCACAGTCAAGTTGTCGGGTAAAGCCCAAAACCATGTCAAATCACACATGTATACAAGTTCACATTTGACCGTAATAGTAATACAGATAAGAGATCGAGAGCGATAAAGTACACTCTCGTCTCCTTCAAGCCATTCAAGTTTACATAACAAGTATAAACACCCATCTAAGCGTTAGCCATATAATGGTACACTCACCAAGGTAAGTAAGCAAATTCACAAGTTAGCTTCAGACGTAGGCGTCGGATCACCGGCACGACCTATACAACAAGAATATCACAATTAAGACTCGAACACGAGTCAAATCAAATCAACACACTACCAAAAAATAAGGCCCAATAGAACGTATAAGTGCATAGTTAAGCTAGGGAGAGTCCGGAAATGAAGTTTATGCCCTAAAACCAAAAGACAGTTTTGACGTCATTTAGCGGAACGGACACAACTGGAGCTACACTTATCGGATTGGGGTGCAATTTATGCCGTTTTGAAACTAAGACGGAGAGCTATAACTTTGATGAAGAATACTTAGTCCAGTTCTTACCCTAACTAGATCAAATTTACCAAAATAACTCCAAATTTTCCAGTTCAAAGCTCACTGGGGAATTCAACTAGCAGTCATGATTCATTCACTCATATCTCAGCACACACAATTCCAATTCAGGTAATTCCAAAGCCATTTGAAAGCTAAGGTACAAAGCTATAATTCTTAAGAAGACATCAACAATCAATTCGATAATATTCCTGGTCAAACTAGCCACTTACAGAGGCTGATTTTCATTTTTGATAGAAACAGGACAGCAGGGGCAATTTTGTCATTTCACAAGATACCCTGCTCCGATTGAGCTGAAATTTTGCAGACAACTATAAAATATCATTCTCTACAACTTTCATGTTAACCTAAGGCTGATTCGGCCTCCATCCTATCCAAACAGTACCGGGCAGAACAGGGACAATTGAAACCCTAATATGAAATTTTAGTAACAAGCCAGAAATTTTACACAATCAATCATATTCATCATATTCCAACTCCATTTTACACTATAACAAATCATCAATCCATGACTAGCCAACACTAAACATATAAAATTAGAAAAATCATGCATAAAATCAGAAATTCATCAATCTCTACCAAAAATCATGAAATCTTCCATAAAATCACCACCTTAACTATCACAAGTCACTAATTTAACACTAACATGAACAAAGGAAGAATCTCTTGGTCACTTACCTTGTAAACTCAAGAAAAGAGGTAATTTAGCACCTTATCCTTCCAAACCACTCCACTAAGGGTTTTTATGGAGCAATTTGAAGTTCTATCGATTAGATCGTAAGATTGGAGCAAGTTTTGAAAGAGAAATGTTGAAGGCTTTCTTTCTTTTTTCCCTTGAGAGGGTCGGCCAAGATGACAAAGAAAATGGTGAATTTTTTGATCAATTTTGGTCATTTAGTAAAGGTGATAAATAGTGGTCAAAGTCTAGGTTCAATAGAAAGGTGACACCTAGCACCTTTTAGGTTTTCACTTATCCTTTTATCTCTCCAACATTAACCATCTAAGCAACCTCTAATTTTTTCTTAACATCTATCAATTAATCCCAATATACACAACTTAACCTAATTGATCGAATTTTATTGCATTTTTCGCACTAGCGGGTCCTACGCCCGATATACACTCTTAATTTCTCATGAACTAACTTATACTGGAAAAATGATTTTAAAAACATATTTACTCATGAAAATTATCTAGAAAATTTTTCTAATGAAGGAAATATATAAAAGGCGTGCAATTAACTAACTAAAACCTAGAAAATAGGAGAAGTTTCGGGTTCTCACACTCTCTCCCCCTTAAAAGAATTTTGCTCTCGAAATTTCTCACCTTGATTTTCAAATAGTTCAAGATATTTCTTTTTCATATCCTCTTCCATCTCCCAGGTCGCTTCTTCGACTCCGTGGTTCTTCCACAGGATTTTCACTAATAGAATTTGTTTACTCCTCAGCTCCTTAATTTTTCGATCTAGTAAGTGTACAAGTTTCTCCTCGTAGGTAAGAGTTTCATCTATTTCAATCTCCTCTGATTGCACAATATGAGTCGGGTCAGGGTAGTATTTCTTGAGTATTGACACGTGGAAGACATCGTGTATCCGGGACAAGCTTGGCGGTAATTCAAGCCGGTATGCAACTTTCCCAACTCGTTGGAGTATCGGGTAAGGCCTTACGAATTTTGGTTGAAGTTTCTTTCCTCTACCCATCGTAACAATTCGTAGTGGTGTAATTTTGAGAAAAACACGATCTCCAACTTGAAACTCCAAATCTTTTCTTCGGTTGTCTATAGACACCAAATTTTGAATTGATTTATATGTTTTGTTTTAGTGATAAGTCTTGTCTATTGATTTTTGTTTATCTCATGATTTTTGTTTTAAATGGTTTGCATTTTTGTTTTGCCCCTTTAGATGTTATTTTATTTTCTTTTTAGTTTTATTTACTTTTTAGTTTTTTAGTTTTTGTTTTTTAAGTTTTTAGCGTAGAAAATCATGAAAAATGGAAAAAAAGGAAAAATCATGGAAAAAGAGGAAAAAGGAAAAATAAAATAGCATTTTTGTTTTTATTTATCTATTTTAGTCATTTCTACTTAATTTAAATTTTGTTTTTGTTTGGTTTATTTAGGAAAAAAAAAGAAAAAAAAGAAAAAAAGAAAATGGATGAAAAATGGAAGTTGTAATTTGCTGTTCAATATCAGTTTCTGTTATTATAAATTTTTGAGATTATCATTTATTTCATTTTTATTGTTATTAATTTCTGTTTTAATTAGCTGAAAAAAAAAAAAAAAAAAGCTTGTCGCGGCATGCACGCTGCAATTTTTTGCAGCGTGCAAAGGACACTCACAGCAGACCATCGGAGGGCTAGATTTTACGGGGGTGACAAGCCCCTCATCCTCATCGTTGAGGTGAGGGTTTAGGAGATTGGGGAGATGATATAAAAGGGAAAAGAAAAGCAGCAGCCGATGGGGGATTTTTTGGAGAGCATCGACAGGCCAAAAGAAAAACTGAGCAAG